AACAAAAAAGTAGTGAACATAATCCACTGTTACAATCCCACATTTAATGTCTACTAGTATTCCTGTTGATGTTGAAAGTCTAGCAGGAATGTTGAGCCTATTCCAAGGTGGAAAACACATTCATGAGCTAAGATTGAAATTTTATTCAAGACTTTAATTCAAGGAACTAAATTTTGTGCTTTTCCACACCTGCAGACATGTCGCGTTTTAATAAGTTCTTTCAACTTGTTGGATGATGTGGTATTAATATAACTCCCACTGGTGCGTCTGCATATGTGGCCACACATAATGATGTGACAGCAAGTCAAGGCCACTAAGAAGAAGAGAGAAATCAATGGCTGGTGTCCATTATTGACATCCTGCAGTTTACATGGATCATTAAAGCAGCAAAGCCTGTTCTATTTATTTCACATAAACTGAAAGCATTGATTCCTCAGCACCATGAGCACTTTTCCTCCAGCAGAATATAAAATCTTACATGCATGACCATTTGCAGGTTACCTTATAGCTGAGATATAAAAAGGAACAAAAGTGATATTTACAGCAGAATTTAGAAAAATTATTCCCTACAAACAGCATTACATTAACAAAGATTAATTCTCTTTGTCTGTAACATCTTTATATTGTTCTGCGATTATTTAGTGAATATCTCAAGACTCGTATATTTGGTTGGTAACAATGATCTATTCTTTTTGTACCTAAAAAAAAAAATATATATATATATACACTCAGGTGTTCAAGGGTTTTTGAATTGAAATAAATAAATTAAACTTCAAGAAAACTTGAGAAAGTGCTAAATGAGCTTTTGGGAGATGCACAAAATAACTGTTTCTGTAAACATGATAGGCAACTTTTGGAAGCCTGGTAGCCACTGGGACTTTGGAGAGAACAAAAACTATGAAAGTTTTGCTGTGTACCAACAATATTACATTAAAATATGTCACAATAATTCAAAACAATGGGAAAAAAGAAAAGCCCAGAAAGCCACGAAAAGCTAAAAAAAACAAACAAATGTCATCAAATAATTTTTTTTTCTTTCATATTTGCAAATCGACCGACACAGAAAGAAACAAACTGCCTTCAGACCACATGGTTGTGTGATTAAAAGTTTTCAACTTTCAGCACATAGCATGTAATTTTTCTGAAACCGGACCAAAGTGTTGGTCTTTTGTGATATGGCATCTGTACGTCACCTAAAATAACGTATTTAAGATTTAAGTGAAGTTTAGACTGTCGGGTTTATTTCAAGGATTTTAACCAAATACGGCATTGACCATACAATACATAGAAATCTTTCAGGACTCCCTGTAAATCACAACTAGGTTGGACCTCCTTTGTCTTCAGAAGTTCCTTAATTCTTCACGGCACAGATTCAACAACGTGCTGGAAACATTCCCCAGAGATTCTGGTCCACATTGACATGACATCCACTATTTGAACCTCCTGACCACCACATCATACGCTGATCTACTGGATTGAGATCTGGTGACTCTGTGGGCCGTCTGATTCATTGTCATGTCCAAGAAACAAGTTCCTGACCTTGCACATTACCCTGCTGTAAGCAGCAATCAGAAGATAAATCAGTTAGTATTAGTATTAAGGGACACGAACTGTAGCGATCAGCCTAAAGTATGGACGCGAGGCAGGATAGATCTAAGCTTTTATGCTGTTTTACTAAAAAATTTTGAACTTAACATCTGAATTGAAACTCACACCAAACAACGATTTTAAAATCTCCTAAAACTGCCACTCACTAGGTATTTTCTCTTTTTCAGACCTCTCTGTAAACCCTGGAGACTTTTTAGGAAACTAAGACCAGCCGATCTGACACCAACAACCACACCCTGTTCAAAGTAATTTAAAACACCTTCCTTCCACTTCCTCCAACAGCAGGTATGGGTTGCCACTATGCAAATGGCTGAACAGATATTTGTGTTACTAAGCTACTCAACAGTACCTAATAATGTGACCAATGAGAGTATATCTGTCTTCTCTTTATTTAAATCTTTGTTTTATTTAAAATCTGTTGTAGTGGTGTAGAAAAAAATCCCTCTTCAATAAATGATGGGATTTCCAGTATAATGTTGCATAATTACACAGTACAAAAACGTAACAATAACATTTATATTAACCATGAAACAATTTACAAGCTGGCTTGATTTGGAAAATGGAGACATACTGTATCATTAGTTAAATTGTCATTTGTTGTAATCAAGACAGGTTTCTTTTTGGACACATGAGGAGATTCATTTTGCTCCGATAAAAAAAACAAAACAACCAAAAACCAAAAAAAAGAAAAACAGACATTTGACAAAATCAGCTATCATAAGTTTTTATTAGCATATTCACCACATACAATGAATGACTGTTGGATTAATAGTAATTATTAAGTATTGTTAGCCCTATATATGATATTCTGGATTACTTTAAAATATTTGAGTAGCAGGAATCATAATTTAGCAAATGGATATCTTCACTGTTCGATATAACGATATATATCGGATGACTATATAAAAACGTCTAGTTTCATTTTACGCTATCGTTTGTTTCGTGGTGTCGCAAAATAAACTGTTTACGGCAATATTTTTTCATCGTTTTGATGGTCACTGTAGTGGCTATATTCATTTCTTAAAGTTCTCTCTTTCGCTTATATTTAATATAACCACG